TGAAGCTGTGGGGAAGGGGAGGAACCCAGCCCCATGGGGGACATCCCAATTCAGGGAGCACCCCAGGGCTGGGCCCTTTTCCCATGGGCATCCCTTGTTGTGCAGTACCTGTCCCGGTACCAGCCACTGCACTCTGCTGCCCATCTCTCCTCCCTGATCCACAGGCAGGATGGATCCAGGCCCGGACTCTCCTCCACCATGAGCTTCCTGAAGGTCCCTGGCTGAGTCCCTTATCCCAGAGCTGCATTTTTAGCACAAAATCCATGCTCATGGCTTCTCCCAGGCACCAAACCCAAAGGGCACCTTCTCCCATGTGTCTCCATGACCCATCAGAGTAGCCCAGCTGGGATGGATCCCACCGGCTCATCCAAACTGGCCTCTCTACCTGTGGATAACCAAAGCCCACCCATCTCCCAGTAAAGGAACATTGCTCCTACATTGCCAACGGGGAAACTGAGGCACGATCATGGGCACTGCATGAGCTGCAGCCCCTGCCCTTCCCTACTGACTCCAACCCCTTGACTGAGTCTCTCCAGCTTTGTCTTTAATTCAAAGGGGATGGTGGTTTTTTTCCATCGGGAACGTCAGAAACCATCTCCCATCTCCTCCTATTCCTGCTCCAGGCCAGATTCCAGTCGAGGGATCGGTCAGTGGAAAGAATGTCAGCAAAGAGCAGGGCCAACCCTGCCGGGTTTTTCCTTCCCCAAATCCCCCCTCCTACAGAGTCGCATTCCCCGTGCCTGCTACTGGCACCGCTGCTCACTTTGGGTTGATTTCCAGCCTTTTTGGAACCCACCGTGATGTTCTCCTCCGTTTGGAGTGATTTCTTTGGGGCCAGGAGTCTTGTAACATGTCCTCACCCTGATTTCAACTCTCCCAGGGTCTCAGCCCCCAGGATTTCAGCATCCTGCAGTAAGGAAAGCAGAACCTTCAGCCTCAAGGTTCACCCTCAGCACAGCACTTGAGCTCCCCACGGTCAATCCATATACTCAAGAAGAAGATAAATCAGAGCATCAGCTTGGTCTCTGTATAAGGAGGAAGCACTGAAACAGGTAGGAAGAGGCAGGATCTATCCCTTAGAGCACGTAGAGCAGCCGGCAGCAGGCGTGAAGGTGTTAGGAGGGGACAACCTGAGCCCGAGGGCTTTACATCACCACGTCAAGTGGTTTGACTCACTGGTGGGGATCTTTATTGGTGACATAAGTGGCTCCCAGGGCACGTGGTGGACCTGTACAAGAGAGCAGTCAAGCATTTAGCACTTCATAAACCAGGGCAGCATCAGTGGAGCAGGCGCAGCAGCACTTCCCCGACCAGGAGACGTGGGTTGAGCCAGCCCCGATGGGCCACCAAGGCCACCATGTCCTGAAGAGGCAGCAGAGACAGGAGGTGGTCCATGAAGACCACGAGGGAAGGGCAGCCAGTGCCAGAGAGGGATAAGGACTGGGAAGAAGGGTGCTGCAATGGAGTGGCAGCCTCAGCTATTTTTGGGGCTCTCATCCAGGTTGCCAACATTGCCACTGGTATGAGGAGCTGGAATAACGCTGTGCTCCTCCGTCAGACCCTCTGCGCCAAGATGACCCTAATCCTGGACACGGTGACGTGGCACAGGGGGTTCTGGGGTCTCTGTGTCCAGTGGGCTCATCCCATCAAGAGAGGGATAATGATTTCTCCCGGGCAAGACCATCACTGAGGGACCCCAGTGGCTACGGGGGGTCCCCATCACAGCCCACTCCCCCCGCTGCAACCCACAGGGGTGAGCGGGGCAGCTTGCCCCGGGTCCC